CACACACACACACAGAGAGAGAGAGAGAGAGAGAGAGAGAGAGAGACGAGTGATAGAAGATTGTTGTGCGGTCCAAAAGAAGGCGGCCATAGCCGCGGAGCTTGGACACGGAGGAGAGTGAAAGAGAAGGCGAAGCAAAGGAGGGAGGAGAGACGAGTAAGGAAGAAGAAGCCATAGCTGAGGAAGGAGGAAGGAGGGATGACGAAGAAGAAGGGAGACATAGCCGGGGGGGAAGAGAGAAAGGAAGTGCGGGAGAAGGAAGGAAGGAGAAAGGGAAGTGAGGAAAGGTGAGAGAGAAGATGTTGGCGGCCATAGTCGAGTTGACCGTTGACCCCAAAGTTGACCGAAGTTGACTTCAACGTTGACTTGGGTGTTGACCAAGGCGTTGACCAGGGTTGACCAGGGCGTTGATCGGGGGTTTGACCGGCGTTGACCAAAGCGTTGAACGGAGCTGCTGACCACGAAGTTGACCAAGCTGGAGTTGGTATAATCTCACCAAGCCTTTAGCCTATTCCCTCGCCCTATGGATGTGCACTCACCCCATGGTACTTGCTGAGTCTGTCTGTCTCTTCTTTCTGCATCGAGTCTCTTTTGTCCAGGTGATAGGAACTCCGTGTATGAAGGATAAAGCCTTGTTGACCAAACCCACATGAGCTGAGTTAGGCTAAAGGCTGTGTCTGACGACTCGACTGTCCCGGAGGACACGAACCCTCCCAAGGATCGGTACTGACCGCCGGGCTGCTCGGCGTGGCACGGTAGGCCCAAAATCCGAGCTGTGGGCTGCACAACGAGCTGTCTAAGTCTTGAGTGGACTTGCTGATTACGTCGTCCTGTCTGCGACGTTAAATAATTACTGAGGAGTTACGGGCGATATCCTTAAATGCCTCCTGATCAGCATCAAAGTCCTGTAGTGACAGCCTTAGTTCTAGGTCTAGGCTAAAGACCATAGTTGACAAGGTCCTACTTGGATCTTGTGGTCCTTAGATAGTCAGTCAGTCAGCCTAGAGGGTAGGTCTAAGTGGTGAGGAGTGGGACAATCTTCGTCGTGCACCAACCACCATGGATGACTACCCGATGTACGGTCTGCTCGTGGGGTTCTCTTTTTGGGGAACCCTCTGGCGTCTCCTCTTCCCGTTAGGGTTCTGGAACACCTTCACGTGTAGAGTAGACAAATGGAGGAGGTAAGCGAAGCTGCGAAAGAGTTGGAAGTTATAAAAGAGCAAGGGCACAGATGGAGGCGCAAGCAGATATACAGGGGAAGATGGAGGTGATGTCAAGGAATATTCAGCTCCTGGCTAAAGCATGGGACGAGCAGTATCATTTCAATAGGAGCCAGAATGTGGCCTTGCGATCGATCCGATAGAGAGTTTGCGCGTGACATGATGATGCACGTGGGCTCAAAGGTAACGACGAGGCTAGAACACACAAAGCGATTCTGCACGGGCGCCATAGAAGGCGCCAAACTCGCTACTCCAAGAGAGGAGGAAGCGCGTCCCCGGAGAGAGTCAGTCAAGGTAAAGTTCCATGACTCTTACAGTGGAAAGGAGGAGAACTTTGACAATTGGGAGGCGAATGTGAACTCCTATGTACACTTGCAGAAGATAGGTCCTGAGGAACAGGTCCTCGTCGCCTTCCATGCTCTCAAGGATGAGGCAGCTAGTTTCGCGAGATCGCTTGTGGCAGAGGTTGATGGTCGGTGCCTAGATAGTTGTCCAGAGACTGCTTGTGTTAGAGTCTCTCTAGGCACTTCCCTCACAGGTGTGGCAGAAGAAAAGGAGAGGATGCCTGCCTGGGCCAAGATGAAGAAGGATGCAAAAGGACAACTAGTCTTAGTAGATGTAGAGATTTTTAGAGTCAGAATAGGGGCCCTTATAGACAGTGGGGCCACCCGCAGCTATATCAGTAGGAAAGCGCTGCAGAAGTTGAAGCTAAATCTCGAAGTCCAAAAGTTAGAAGACCCTATAATCAGTATCCTCGCATACAATCGCACCATGCGAGTCGAGGATTACGTAGAGGGAGTCCAGGCGTACTTTCGCCTAGAGAAGGACGGGAAGGTGGAGAAAGTTCTCCATTCCCTGACTCTCCTCGTAGAAGATAGCCTTCCCTTCGATACGGTCCTAGGAATGGACTGGGGAGAGGCAGCGGGGCCACACTCCACTTGAGAGAGCACGAGTGTAGACTCCCTAGTCCATCAGGCGAAGTCAAGACGGCTCGTATGTTTCACGTGTCAAGAGTAGACAACTCTCTGGCACATTGCTGCCTCAGTGCTCCCGCGTTTGCGCGATTGGTGAAGAAGGATCAACTACAAGAGCAGGTTTTTGTGGCCTATGTCAGACCTGTCACTGAGCCTAAAGAGGAGAAACCCATAGATCCTGCTATTGCCAAGCTGCTGGAGAATTATACAGATTTAGTTCAGCCGCCTACAGGAGCAATGCCGCGACCGATCTAGGATCGCATAGAGATAGAGCCTGGCAGTAGGACTCCTAAGGGAGCGATTTACAGAATGTCCCCAAGGGAGTTAGAGGAGCTACGTAAGCAGTTAGACGAGCTCCTTGAGAAGGGTTGGATTAGGCCCAGTTCGTCCCCATTCGGAGCACCTGTTCTCTTTGTCCCTAAGAAAGAGGGAGAGCTTAGAATGTGTATAGACTATAGGGGTCTCAATGCTATCATAGTGAAGAATGTTGAACCACTGCCCCGTATAAATGATTTGTTAGATCAGGTGCAGGGGTGCAAGTATTTCTCGAAGATAGATTTGAAGTCCGACTATCATCAGATAGAGGTTAATCCTGATGATCAGTATACGACAACATTCCAGACTAGGTACGGGCACTATGAGTTTATAGTTATGCCCTTTGGACTAACCAATGCGCCAACAACCTTCCAGCGTTGTATGAATGATTTGTTTAGGTCGTGGTTAGATAGATTTGTGGTCGTGTACCTAGATGACATCCTAGTGTTTAGTAAGACCCCCCAAGAGCATGAGGGCCATCTGAGGCAGGTCTTGGAGAAGCTGAGGGAAGCTAACTTCAAGATCAACGCAAAGAAGTGCGAGTGGGCCAAGACACAAGTCTTGTACTTGGGTCACGTCTTAGATGGGGATGGCATAAAACCTGAGGACAACAAGATAGCAGCGATTAGAGATTGGCTGATGCCCCGCACGTCAACAGAATTGCAGTCGTTTCTCGGCCTAGCTAATTACTACAAGAAGTTTGTGAGGAACTTTTCGACGATCGATGCGCCCCTTCGCAGATTGCTGAAGAAAGAGGCGATCTGGAATTGGGACAAAGATTGTACCTCGGCCCTAAAGAAGTTGAAGCGGGCCTTGATAGAGTACCCAGTCCTCAAGGTAGCCGATCCATCACTGCCCTTTGTTGTCACCACTGACGCAAGTCGGTATGGAATAGGTGTTGTGTTACAACAAGATGATGGCAATGGGTATAGACCCGTAGAGTTCATGTATGCTAGGATGCCTTCAGAGAAGGTAGCAACATCTACCTATGAGAGGGAACTCTACGCTCTCAAGCAAGCACTAGAGCATTGGAAGCATTACTTGCTTGGGAGGCACGTCAAAGTGTATTCAGACCACGAGACGCTAAGGTGGTTAAAGACTTAGGCTAAGATGACACCTAAGCTTACCAGGTGGGCCGCAGAGATAGACCAATATGACTTTGAGCTTAGGCCAGTCAAAGGAAAGTACAATGTAGTTGCGGATGCTCTAAGTAGACGAGCTGACTACTTTGGAGCAATAGTTCACTATTTGGATATACGGAGAGACCTGCAACAGAAAGTTCGAGAAGCATATGCACAGGACCGTATTTATAGTGACCTCCTCAAAAGAGTTAAGGAGGCCCCAAAGTTTGAACCAGATACCGCACTACTGACGGGTTACTATTCGAGAAGACCAACGTAGTGGACCGTCTATGCGTTCCTAACAGCGAGGAGATCCGTAGCTTGATCCTAGGGGAATGCCACAACACTGAGGGACATTTCGGTCGGCAAAAGACATTAGCCAACCTGATGCGCGCGTATATATGGCCTGGCATGAAGGCCGACTGCATAGAGTATGTTCGCAGTTGTAAGGTCCATCAGAGAAATAAGACGAGTACATGCGCCCCTCTTAGTCTTCTCAAACCCTTGCCTATTCCTAACCACCCAGGAGACTCAGTATCTATTGACTTTATGAACACTCATGTCAAGAGTAGGCACGACAAGAGCCAAGTCATGGTTATAGTTGACAGATTTCGTAAATATGCAGTTTTTGTTCCTTTGCCTACGGAGGCACAAACAGAGTGAGTAATTCAGAAGTTCTTCGATCATTGGGTCAATGAGCATGGTATCGTCAGAATTGGCAGGAACTAATGAAAGTTTATGGTTCAAAGTTGTTAATGTCGTCTGGCCGTCACCCTGAGACTAACGGTCAGACTGAATAGATGAACAAGATCCTGCAACAAGTTCTTAGAATGTACATTAGGCCCAATCAAATCAATTGTGATGAGATGCTCCCAAAGGTAGCTAGTGCCTACAACAACAGCGTGCACTTAGCCACATGTCGCACTCCTAACGAACTGCATAAGTCCTTTAGATCGCGCAGACCGTTCGAGGGACTTAAAAGGGATCAGATTCAGGGGCTACCACCCGGTACACGAGAGTTTGCGATACAACACGAAAAAGAGATAGCTACCGTTGTAGACAACCTCAAGAAAGCCCAACATAGAATGATAGAGCAAGCCAATAAGCATCGTCGCCTCTCACAGTTTCAATAGGCGACTTAGTCTGGGTCAAGTCAAAAGAATTCGCTCCTGAGGAGAACATCTCACTGAAATTACTGCTTGCTTATAGAGGACTGTGGCCAGTCCTAGAAGTCAAGGGCGAAGAGGATGGACCGTCCTATACTATTGAGATTCCGGCGCACCTCCACGCCTACCCAGTGTTCCATGCGTCAAAGTTGTTGCCTTGCGTCACAAGTCAACAATTCCTCCGGACATGGACGGAAGGTACGGCATTGACGGCATTGTAGGTGAAGATGTCTTCAGAACAGGAGGTAGAGGTCGTCCCCAGAAACAGTACAAAGTCAGATTTGCCTATCAAGAGCCAGAAGACGACCGCTGGTTCACGCGAACAAAACTTCTAGAGACTGCTCCCGATGTAGTCCGAGCCTACGAAAGAGATAAGAAGGGTAAAGGTCCTGCCCTAGACTGAAGTATTCTCGGAGGACCTCGAATTTAGGCCGGCGGGAGTGAAACGGTTTTCACCTTTCTGCAGTCACAGATGTGGGGCCAGAGTTCCATCCCCATACCTTACCCTACCCACGTACAGTATCGAATTGACCCTTTGAGTGTTTGAACCTATGACTTGTGTTTTGGCAGTGGTTGTTGTCTGTCGTAGGTCTGTGTAGTGGTAGAGGTTCGATCTGTAGGCCTGTCGAGTAGGAGTCACAACCTTGTAGAGGTCGTAGCTGTAGGAATTTTGAAAGGTCAAGGTCGTAGTTGCTACAGTCCTGAGAGGTCAAGGTCGTAGCTGCTACAGTATTCGAAAGGCCAAGTCCACAGACTTCCGGAAGGTGCGGAAGTGGCCTTTTGCAACTGCCTCACGTTTAGTCAGAGGCAAGTGGGCAAGTGGTGAGCTTAGCTGCATTACGTCGGCGGTGCGACTGCATCGAGTTGGCAGTGCAATCCCATGCAGTCAGCGGTACCAGTCCAGTCAGTCCCAATCCAGGCAAGCAAGTACCATGAGGGATTGTGTGCACCATGGGGTCGGGGGAAAGGTGCAGACCAACGATTTACAGAAGTATAAATCAAGAGGCAGTGCCCAGTCATTCATTCATTCGCTGCGCAAGCCATGCGGAAGCACTGCTACAACGTCTTGTGCGAGGTGGTCTGCAGGTCGCCCGAGGTGGAAGTGGGCAGAGAAGGGTTAGTGGTTAGCGATAGAGGTAGCGAGCGGCCATAGCCCCGATAGTTAGTAGAGGTGTTAGTGTGTGTGCGAATGTGATACAATGTGTGTGTGCATGGAGTATTCAGGGAGACCCATGGTTGACACAGTGACGAGAGTTGTGATGTACAGGCGCAGATGCGCCACATCTGAATTGTGTTCCCATATCTCTGAGCTTGGTGTGGGCGTTGGCGCCAATGTGAATCGCCATCTATTTGCATGCATGTAGAGTGGAAGTGAAAGCAAGTCTGATTGTAATATCTATAACAAGCTCTCCATCAAAAACACACTTGAACAAATGACCGTAGAAATAGCGATCATTATCAAATCTTTGAAATTCAGAGATTACCAAAAACACGCACGTTATATACAGTGTTACGATCTATATGTCCTCTTCTCCCTCTCTGCCTATGGTTTACCGGGCAGCTCTGTTTGATGATATATATTTTAGTTAATAGTTATGTGACAACATATTTGCTGGCTTGTGGTGGGGTGTGAACTGACAGTCTGTGGAGTTTCCCATCTGGTGTGGGTGAGTGATAGTCTGCTTCGATTTTTGTCACAGGTACCTTGAGGGCAATGGTTGGTGCGCAGCTCAGGGTATCAGTTGTCGGGCAGTCGTTGACGCTTAACCACAACCGGGGTTAAGGTGGATTATCACGTACAATGTAACGAGTTGCGGGATTCTGCAGGCTGTTGAGGATTCAGCCTCCTGATGAGTCGGTGAAACTTCGATGGAACAGTTTGTCACAGCCCCTCGTTTGTTGTCCTTTTCTCCCTCTCTGCGTAGTTTACCGGGAATCTCTGTTTGACGATATATAAATATATGTATGTAGACTGTTGCGGGTTCAACCTCCGGATGAGTTGGTGAAACTCCGATGAAACAGTTTGTCACAGCCTCACATTTGTTGTCCTCTTTTCCCTCTCTGCCTACGGATTATCGGGCTGCTCTGTTTGACTATATATATCGTCCAACAGCTCTGTTTGACGATACGTCTCCGTCTCTGCCTTCCAGGGTGTTGTAGAGGCCAGCCATTGAGTACACAGTAATCACTTGGAGCTGTGAGCCGCGGGTGTCCTGGAATATGAGACCACCTCCCATCACATCTTCATGTCAATACTCCTAGCGCACCCCCTATCCCACTATGCTACCTCGGTGTGACCAGCACTCAGGAGCATTGCCCCACCAATGGGCAGGCAACTTGGACCGAACAACAGTGATAGGTACCAGGGCTGATAGGTTGCCCAACCCTGGTGGAAGCGGAAGCGGACGAGCCTTGTCGAACGGGAACTTCGGACGCTAGGCCCAGACAATGAATTGCAGGCCCCAAGAGACTATGGACTCTGGGTTCAGACAGGGTAGCACAGTTCTATCCGAATGTCAGTAGGAACTGCACCCAGCACCCTATCCAACCTACTTGAACCTTCTGCATATATTAGACCCTACCTACCCTTTTTACCCTAGGGTCTAATCCTTATACATAGCCACCAGACAATTCTATCCGAATGACAGTAGGAACCACACCCAATGGCACCCTATCCATCCTACCTGAACCTACTGCAGGTACTAGACCCTACCCAGTGACCAGACCCCCCCAGCCAGTTTTGTGTGCTTTTTTATGTGTATACTCTGTGAATTTATGAATTGAGATGTACAAACAACATCATATGTGGAAACTTATGTATGTAGCCCATAGGCGATATGTAATTCGCAAACTATGTGTGTATGCCCGAAGGTTGTGTGTGCTCTGTGAATCATGTGTGTATATCGAGGAGAGAACGGGGCAAGCTGGACAAGGACCCCCCCCAAGGTCCGAACCAAGCTCGAACCCGTAACCTTGTAACATGTAATCCAAAACTTTACCGTATGAACAACTACCGGAAATGGCACGAATGTGTGATGTGCCAGACTGGGGAGATCATCAGAGCACCCAAGACCAACACCCCCAAGCAATCCATGTGGAACCCACAACCAACATACAACATCGTAGACTACCCTTGGGTGGTGCGCAGGCATGTCTGTAATAGTACCATGCGTCAGCCCAAGGGAGTGTGTGTCCAGCCATGCGTCAATCTAACGTCGTGCCGGTGTCCATGCGCAAGGCTGTGGGGTTTTGAACCCGCAACCTTGTACCACAATGCGCATTTCCAACCGGTGCTCTAGCCACTGAGCGTCTCTGCCTATGGTTTACCAGGTAGATCTGATTGACAATATATATATTAAATATATGTATGCAGACTGTTGAGGGTTCAGCCTCCTGATGAGTTGGTGAAACTCCGACGAAACAGTTTGTCACAGCCCCTCATTTGTTGTCCTCTTTTCCCTCTCTGCCTACGGTTTACCGGGCAGCTCTGTTTGACTATATATATCATCCAACAACTTTGTTTGACGATACTCCTCCGTCTCTTCCTACGGTTTTACCGGGCAGATCTGTTTGACAATATATGTGCCAATATATATATATTTTCTATTTGACGATATATATATATATATATTCTATTTGACGATATATATATATCGTGACGATATACCGTCAACTCGAGCTACGCAATGCTCGAGCAGGTGAGTGGTTTAATCCGCCATCCCACATCTATGCCTGCATTGTGCATGGGCCTGGTCATTACATGGCCATTGTACATGCCTCTAACCACTGGGAGTTGTGGTCCATGCTATGACTGATGTCACTTAATTTCTCACAAAATGATGTTGTTTTCTTGCCACAACGAACCGTCCACAATCTCTTTTATGTCGAAGATCATTCCCCTGGCCCCATGCTGCAGCAAAACGATGTACCAACATTGTGCGACCTTCTCCTTTGCACAGCCACAACTACTATTACACTCGGTTGTAGCCGCCATCGTCTCTGTCACAATCACTACAATGACATGGTTTCTGCATCCATGTGTGCACAGGACTGTCCCTTCGTTCCTGACTGCAGGCACCCTCTGCATCCAGACACTATGTCCATTTTGCAGCCATGGGCGCTATACTGAATGCATGTTTTTTTTGTGGTGACCGTTCTTCCCTCATTTTGGCAATCGACATG